GAGGAGCCGGAAAAACTGGCACAGGCTGAGCTCTGTGTGGGGAGCGCCTTGCTGTCATCCCAGGCACTAAATCCAGCCCAGGTACCCTAACCCTTCAGTGCAAGTGAAGAGATTATTATAACTTCAGCTAATTCCCCATACTTATTACCAAGCCTACTTCTTTTTGTCTCAACACAGAAGCCCCATCCCCCTTGTTCTCTTTCATGGCATTGACAAACACTTTTTGTGACTCTTATCTTCTCCCCGCCAGCCTTCGCTCCCTGGCGGTTTTTTTGTGGCCAGCTCCACCCTTTTCCACTGAGGGCACTGGCTGTTTGTATCTAAACTTCAGTCTTGAAAGAGCCTCTCAGGAGCCGTGCTGGCTGTTTCAGTGAAGGTCTTCCTCTCACGGGCAGCCGTGTTTACAGCACAGGAACCAAAATTAACGTCTCTTCACTCTCGAGGACAAAATACCAGTTAAGTTTTGAAACTTTTCTTCAGTGGTGGAGATTTGGCTTAGAGACTCTGTGTGGGTATGTTTAGATAAGTTGAATTGTGCCCTTTTTAAAAATGGATTTAAGATATTAGAAACTCTGATCAAAATGGGCAAAAGTGAAAATGGTTGAAGGGTTTTTGTATCATTTGGCAGGTTTTAGTCTAACAGCAGTGCTTTTTTAGCTATTTTTCTGTAGAATGATGTGAAACTGTTTAGTCATTACTGTTATTAGTCCTAATGTGAGCACGTGCTTTCCCCTCTTAAAGGTTTGCAGTGGAGTGGAGTATTTGTAGATGACTTGTATACCATTATTATTTGCTTATTATTTTTTTTCTACTTCTTTTGATTGGATACATGTAGAAATCAGTGGTCAACAAAAAAGAAACAGCATAGATAGTCAAAATACTTATAAGCCCTTGTACTTCTTAACATCCTTAGAGAGCTGCCTAGCAAGATGAAGAGACTAATACCAACCTTTTTAGCAACATCGTTATTCTGCACTATGTATGTGTGTATCCCTGTAAAATAGGTTATTCTAGTAAGTTGATTATTCTGGTTCTTCCTGCATATATTGACTGAAAAATACTAGTTGTCAACTGGTACACGCAAATGTTGCTTTGATTCTTAAAAGCCCAAATTTACACTGTCAGCTCACAGTTAGACTGTACTTCAGAAAGAAAATGGAAGTAAATGAGTCAGAACTGAGCTTGTTAACTTCACTCTTGACTTTCAGAGAACTTTTGCAGATCGAAGTTGAAAGATTTTTCCATCTAAACTGCCTGCATCTATGATGTGTATTTGGAAGATGATTGCAAATAGTTCTGGAGAAGTAATTTTATGATATTAGAAAGACCTTGAGTTAATCACCCTACTAATGACTCCATCAGGAAAAGCTGTGTCTGTTCTCCAGGCTGTGCAGAACATGTAAGGCTGTCTAAGTTGGTATAAAAAAGTTGACTACAGTTTTAGAAAGAGTGGAATTCTGGAAACAGTTTCAGGAACAGGGTGAGCTGCCCTGTTCATTTTTACTGGTGAGTGGTGAGGAAATTCATGTCTCAGAGCAAGCTGGTGGAGTGGCACTCAGAAGGTGGGTGAGGTGGAAGCAGAGCAGCAGCCTGCATTCTGCCAAGGTCAGCCTACTCACTTGAGTGTCTAAAATAAAAGCCCTACTCACCATCCTCCTGGCTGTGCACTTTGTCTGAAATGTCACTGTGCCTCCTTCCCAGTAGCTGTCATGGGCCCAGTTCTCATACCATGGGATATTTCCTATCAGACCTTCAGTCTGATGCTTGTAGTGCTGTTTCAGCACAAACAAGGGGACACAGGTGCTTGGCTGGGCAGGTGAGGTCCCTGAAGACAGAAGGATGCTTGTGCAAACAGGAAATGATTCCCAGCTGTGGAGGGGTGGGTTATCCAGGCTACATCCTTGCTGTGTGCAGGCACAGGCAGGTGTCAGAGTCCAGCTGTGTTGGCAGGATCATGGGCAGCCAAGAAGTGCTGTGCTGCTCACTTTGGGATTTGTACCCCACTGTAGAAAGTCACTGCTCTTAGTGTCTCATGTCAAAAGTTGTCATGGTTTCAAACAAACAAACAAAACAATGTACATGTACCCAAAGAGCCTACTAAATCCCTGAAACTTTCTCTTGATTGAGCAATGCTGAGCATACAGCTGAATAACTGTAAAAATAATAATTTTTCATTCATCTGGCAGTACAGTTGTTGCTTTGTCAGCATTTCTTGTCAAATACTACATCTGAAATTACCTTTCTGCTTGTAAAATATCTGCTTTGTGCTGGAGCAGCATGTTTGTCATCTCTTTGAAAGCATCTCTCTCCAGAATGACTTACTTGTATGACTTTTGCTTGATCACTTGTGGGCAGTGTAATGCCACACATATATACATATATTACAATCTCATGAATTAAAGCAAAACCAAACCACTTGGTCTCCAGGCCCTAGTTAGATTTTCAGAAGCAGGCTCCTGCTGCTCTGGTCAGATCCCAGAAACAGAGCCCTACAAGCTTGTGGTTTTACAGAAATCAGTCTTGTACAGTGAAATAAATATCCAATAAATATCATTCATTTAATGACTCTTATTAAAGGTAAATTGTTGACCACAAGAAGGTGGTGCCCTTCATAGGAGCCCACTGGGATTACCAGAAATGGAAGAAGGTTGTGTTAGCACATGTGGGGTGCTTACCTAAGGATATGCAGTTCCAAGTTTCACAGGTCTGTAGCAGTGGATGAAATGTAGTGAAATATTCATAGATAGCCATGTGGCAGGCTACAGGCTGCTAGAAAACATCATTATGCACTGGCATGTGGATAAATTGCATACCTGATTTTATGCACTTCATCCATATTCTCACCTGCTTTACTGCTCATTCCAAACCTCCACATTTGCTACTTTCCTGGCTCTTACCTATCTTCTCTTATTTCTAAAACTGTTTTTAAGGGAAGCTGCTTGTTTGGTTTAACAAAGCTGTTGATACAACACTAAATCCACATTTCTAGTAGTCTCAGCAAATGTGTAACATACTACTGTTAGCATTAAGGTGCAAAATTCAGGTCAGAAGAAGGAAACTAACATGACCAAAAAGCAGAAGAATTAAAAATACAATATGCAATAAACTAAAAAAATCTTCCTTTCAAAAATTTCCAAAAATATATTACATTACCTTTTTTTCTGCTATGGAAGTAACATTACTTGTACAGGTTTAAAAAACCTCCAGAAGTCTGAATATGACTAATAAGAGTTTACTATTAATGTTTTTGCAGATCTTTTTTATAGTCCTTTTCGGGTTGAAGGAGCAATCATTTAATATACTGCAGAGAACTGGGCAGCCTGGTCCAGTTCTCTGCTACTCTTGATCTAAAACTCTTCCTCATGTTGAGCTGGAACTTCGCACGTTTCAGTTTATGGGCATTGCTCCCTGTCCTCCACTTCTTCTCCCCCAGTTAGGTGTTTTCCTCTCTCAGTTCTGTGCTTTTTCTTTCCTTTTCCTCATCTGCTCCTTTCTCCTGCTGCATAGACCTTACCAACAGCAGCCACAAAAGAGGAAAATCTGACTTTGCTTGTGCATGTTCAGGCTGGTGAGAGGTTCTTCTGCTGTTGGGAGATGCCACGTGAATATTCTGGTCTACACTGAGAGATCTGTGCAGCAGATCCATCAGAGTCAGTCAGGGGAAATTTTTAGAGGACTTATGGAAATCTGGCAAGTCTCAGGTACAAACATGATCCTGACAAAATTATTCTAAGGAGAGCACTGATATCTGAAAAGTTGCTAATTAGTAGTCATGGAGACTCAACTATCCACCTGAGGAGGCTCTATCATGTAGAGTCTTGAGGATTTCTTTGTGGGGTTCAGTAGCACTCTCTCTTCCTAATCATAACCTGTTGGTGAACAGATCCAAGGGATTGGTGGATTTTGCCCAACAGAGTGGGTGTTTTGAAGGACTGAATTAAAATTCAGTGAAGAAATTACATTTGTCATACAGAACTGTTTTCTTTCTTTAATTGAGAGCAAGTGCTCTGCCAAGGAAGGCAAACTGAAAGGAGCAATTACTTACAGGGAATAGTCTGGAGTTATAATAGGAGCCAGCTGCGTGGTAAAGACACCAAATGTCTTCTTGGAAGGAACCAGGAGGAGTGTTCACAATCCACCTCAGCTCGTGTTGTGTGCAGCTTTGGGTACTGCACGTTTGGGGAAAAGCTGCAAGATGCTGCCAAGAAGTAATGAGAGGGCTAGAAAATGTAACCTATAAGTTTGAAGGAACAGAATTTATTTAGTCTAGGAATGTCAGTACTGCAGTGGTCCTAGGACAGGGTTTGTTGTAGACAGGGAATAATCTGTTTATCGTCTCAAAGGAGCAGGCTTTGTCCACAGTGCACAGTATATTAAATTTGATACCATGAAAACTTTTTCATTATATGTTCTGCAAGAGTTTATCTCTTGGCCCTGCAATCACTTTATTCAGAAAAAGAAGGAAGGGTTTTTCCCTTTGGGGAAGGAAAGAAATAGAGAGGAGGTAGCATTTCTTCTAGTTTTTGCATGTCTGTGATATTACTTGAGCATGGATGAACTCCAGTTTTCCAGTTGTTTATAACTTTATCAAACTTGAATGGGTTTTCAGAGGGATTACATTATTAAAAAAATATCCAGCACAGAAAGCAACACATCCTGATCAAATTTCAAGTATCTCTTCCAAAATATGGACAACACTTTAATTGCTGATAAAAATGGGTTTAATAATTTTTTAAAAATATATTTTATCTTGTTTTGTACTGTGAAATCGTAAATCCTCTGTGACCAAACTCCTCCTTTCTGCCCCCCAAATTGCCAGTACCTAGCATACAAAGTTTAGGTCAGATGATTAAGTCTGACAAAGTTAAAACAGCTAAAAACAAAGTCTATGGGGAAGTTTCATATAACATTAATAAGAGGTAAAACTACCAGCCCCACCTATAATAGAAATAAGATTATCAAGGCCGGGTTTCCTTGATGTTTCTCAAATGTTCCTACAGGCTTTTAGAGAAGATCTGGAATGCCTTATTCAAGAACAGATGAAGAAGGGCAATAACCCCACTGGACTGCTTGCATTACAGCAGATTGCTGAGTACATTACAGCGAGCACTTTTACAGGTTTTTCCTCAACTTCACTCAGTAAGTGAATTATACATAAACTGCTCTTTATTTTTTTTTTTTTTTTAATTGTTACCAGGGCTTAGGAATGCTGGGATCTCCTCTTTCCTTGGATAAAAATTCTGTCAGAGCTTGCTTCAGCTGTGAAGTAGTGCAGATGGTGGCCTTAACTTGCCTTTTTAGGCTTCATTCTCTCAAATTCTTTGACTTGTATAATGATATCCAAAATGGTTGGAATCCTCAAACTCAGTTTTTCTGTCATTTGTTAATAAAAGTTGAACTGACGTAGGGGACAAAATGTTGTGTTCTTTTACTGTTAGGAGTTTAACATGAATATGAACTGAGGTGTGAAATAGAAATACATTACCATTTAGTTTCTTTATTTTTCTCCTCTTGCATATAGATTGTTACTAAAAAAACCCAAGAACTCTGAGGTGGGGAGAATCCCCTGGCAAACTGAATTATCAGATAAACAGCTCCCACAGTTAAGCTTCTAGTCTGCACTCTACTTGTAAAGATGTCGCTGGGATCTCGCAGTTAACACCCAAGTTCTTTCCAAGTCATGAAGCACTGAGACATTCAAGTCAGTTTAAGTTCTGTGGGTGGACATCATATGGGAGATTACAAGCCTGAAGTACAGTGGCAGCTGTCAGCATTCATCATCTTTGGAGATTTGGTCCCAAAATGGTACTTCAGGGTTTATTTAACAAAACAAGTGGAAGAGAACAGAGAGCCCAAATAACCTCGTGTGCCCATCTCTGGTTGGTTACTGAGACTCTGTGTCCCACTGTTGTCTCTGCTGTGTTTGCCAGGGTCAATGGGGACAGATCTCAAAGTACACACTCCTTTTGTTGAAAACCAAAATGACTTTTACCTCTTTTGGTCTTAACTTTCCCTCTAAACAAAGGTTGTGGGCTGTCAAAAGGCTGTCATGCATTCATGAGAGGGACCAGGGGTGTGTTCATATAGTCACAAGTCAAAGACAGAAATTGATTTCTCTGTTAAGAGGTGATAAGGGTCACCTCTGTCTAAGGGTTTGAGAGCTCTTGCACTAATCCTAGTTTCTTCATTAGGGCTGAATTGAAGTGCTGAGACTGAGATATCTTTTTAAATTAGTTTTGCTGGTATCAGAAGCTGGTGTCATCCCATCTACAAGGGATGTCTTCTCCTGTAACAAAAAACCTCAAAGTAACATGTAAAAATACTTCATTAGTGACAAATGTCTTAGAGCACAGTTCCAGTCCTTTGTAGGATATTGATTCAGGAGTCAGCTCAGGAAAACCTTTATTCAGTCTCATAAATGCTGGTACTGTTTTGCTAACCATTTAAATACATTGCATCTGGAAGATCGTGGCATAGCTGGAAATATATTTCATTGTCCAACGGCCATTATTTTTGTCTTTTTTTCAGGCCATGGAATGATTACTCCCATCAATGACCTACCTGGGGTAGATACCTCCTCATTTGTTAAGGGAGAAAAACTCACTCGTTGCAAGCTAGCCAGTTTATACAGATTGGCTGACTTGTTTGGGTGGGCACATTTGCCAAATACCTATATCACAGTAAGTATTTTAGAAAAAAAAAAAAACTTACTTAGAATCTCACCTATTCATTCAAATTATATTTCCCCCTGATTAATGTAAATTAGATCAGTAATCCATTTCCTGTCTCCTTTGCAGGTAAGAGTAAGCAAAGAACATGACCACATTCTAATTATTCCAAGAGGGCTGTCCTTTTCTGAAGCTTCAGCTTCTAATTTGGTATGTGATTCACCTGCTGTAATAACCAATAAGGCTCATCCTGTTTTCTAAAATACTTCTGTGGCTGCTTAAATGGACTTCTGTAATTATGCTGTTGTTTGGGGTTTTTTAATATTTACCCACCAGATGAAAAGCTGATTAACTGCTTAGATGGTAGCAGCCTTTGTTGCCAGTATTTCTTCTTGGGTTTAGTTTTACATTCTGTTTCTTTGTCTCCAGCTTCCATGTGGAGCAGCAAAGTTCTGTGTTCCTGTCTGATGAAGCTCACCAGTAACCTCAGTGTAGCCTCTTATAACCTGAGAGTGTGGCAACACATGTGAAATGACTCTGTAGGAGTAGTGTTATCAGAATCACCTCTTACCTTTAGAAGTGAGGAGATAAAGTCAAATAATCTTCCCCAGGCCCAGCAAATGAGCTGGGTAAAGTTACAGGCTGGTATTTAGGCTGTGGTAGCTGCTAAATCACACATCTCCTGGTATAGAACCTGCCATACGCTCTTCATGTCAGTGCACATCTGTAAAGAAGCTGTCTCAAGGTGAAAGGGGTACCAAAATGAGATTAATACTATTACACAGCAAACACAGAACCAAAATACCATGACACATGACCCTGCTGTAGTTTTTTGTTGATCCAGGAATTACTTTTTTAGTGTTCCAATGAATCTGAAAATTCCTTGTGCATTGAATATTCTTACTGGAAATTTCTCAGGCTCTGAGTTATCTTCATATTTAAAATGTAGGAAATGTTAATGGAATGCATTTTTGAAAGTCAGAAATAAGGAAAGGTCAGCCTGACTGAAGTAGAATATATGTTGTATCAGGGTGTTATCCTTACACCTTACTTCTTCCATGACTGAACTTCCAACAGCTGTCAAGGACTGGCAAGTACAAGCAGGATGGTTTATTGACACATTCATGGCTGCTCTCCTACTTTTTTTGTGCTCTGAGCCTTGAATCTGTGTGGGGAAATTTGATGCTAAATACGAAAGGAAGGCTATTTTCTAGATAACTGAAGTCGTCACAACCTTTCTGAATGTCATTTCTCTGTTTGCCTTTTTCAGGTTAAGGTGAACATCCTAGGAGATGTAGTGGACCAGGGAAGCACAGCTCTCAGTATTGACAGTGTGGGCTTCAGTCCACACGTGGCCATCTACTCCACCCGCCCCGACGTCAGATGTGTCATACACATCCGCACCCCTGCCACCGCTGCTGTAAGTCTTCCTCTGGCACAGACTGAAAGAAAACAGCTTTGCCTTATGAACTTAGGGCGTATTTCTCCTCACAGCAGTTTAATTTTTGGTTTATTATCAACTCTGAACTGCTAAATAAAAGTGTGAGAGAGGGCTGGGCCACCACAGTGGAATGGCATCAGAATAAACTGATGCTCAGAGATTATTTTACCAAGGCTGAGGAGGTTGTAAAGCAAATACTAAAAAGGTAAAGCAAATAGTTTACACAGGCTTCATTTATAGCATCCTAGATAATATAATATGCTGTATAAATAATCTTCATTTGCATTACGCAGCTCCATTTTTTAGTGGTTGATTAGTTGTTACACTTAGTTTGGATTTACCTCAATATTTAAATGTTATAGTTAACACAAACTTTAAATGGTCTGGATAATAATGATAAAAAGGTAAGGAAGCCTGAAAGAATAGGTTTGAAATAACTAAATTCTTATTATTTTATCTAGAAATTCATATATATATATATATATATATATATATATGTATACATTCCTTGGCTACAGACAAAATATAAAAGAATGAATAATTTCTTTTATACTAGCTTTTTGAAGTAATAAATGTGAGCAAGAAGGATAAACCATTAAGTAAGCTGAGGATTAAACATGAATAAAATTCACAAAAGTTTCCTCCAATAAATATGTCCCTAGACTGGGTAGCAGCACCTCTGTCACCCTATTGCAAATTAGACTGGTGGAGGGGTTGTTTCTAAGCTCTCCCTATGGAGTTTGTCTCTCTTCTAACAAAGTACACCCTGCTAGGGCTTGGGTGGTTGAAATGTGAGTTTTAAGACTTCCATTTTTCCCTAGTTACCAGCATTTCATTTTCATGAAACAGGTTTCTTCTATGAAGTGTGGCATCCTTCCCATATCACAAGAGGCTCTGATTCTGGGAGATGTTGCTTATTACAACTACCAGGGATCTCTTGATGAACAGGAAGAGAGAATTCAGCTTCAAAAAGTTCTTGGACCCAGTTGCAAGGTATTCAACCTCATTTATGGTCTTCATAAACAATTTTCATGTCCTGCTCCAGTTTCTACCATTTAACATTAGTGTCTTCATTTACTAGGTATTAGTTTTGAGAAACCATGGTGTGGTAACACTAGGAGAGACGCTGGAAGAAGCATTCCACTATATTTTCAATGTGCAACTGGCCTGTGAAACGCAGGTGAGAGAGAATTTATCTGTGTTTCATTTCAAACACTTGTGCTGCAGAGTTACAGATTGTATCCCAGATGGGAAGACCTCTTAGATCACACAGTTTTGGAGTTGTGGAATCCAGTAATCCTGTATACCTGGTCTGGAGTGATCAGGGAATCACTGAGGGAGTGGCACAAATACTCACTCTAGGAACACTGACACAGTCTCAGTGGTGTTGCACTCCAAAGGGTACAGGAGGTTTTGTTCCATGCTGTGCAGAGTGAGCCTCATGCAGAGAATCTGTCAGATGATAGATGTGCTGGTACTCACTGCATGGGAAAGTGTGACTTAAGATCTCTTGAGAGCCAGCTCCTTTACTGAAGCTGAATGTTGTGACAAGAAAAGCTTCTCTCTGTGATCTCAGATTTGTGAAACCAAATTAAAAGAAGTTCTTTAGAGCAATAGTAGTGGGTGGCATATTTAAAAATAACTTGAATCACAAATTCAGTATTTCCATTCCGTCTAACTTTAGCCACCTGGTTAGGTATCCAGATGTTACCTATAACATGTGAAGAGAGACCACTGAAAATGTTCTCACCTTTCATAAGTTTTAAGCCCATCCCCAGAAACTTCATCACTTTGTTCTTGTTCCCCAGTGATGCTGTCCTCCCAAAGAGGCATTTGGATGTGCAAATGGCAGGCTCCCATTCCTTTCCTTCCTTGCCCTACCATTCACTTTGAGTTCAGACACTCTTTCATTTTGAAACAACGAGAAAAATGAAAGGTTTTTAATCTTGTGATGCAGAAGGATGTTTTTAAGGTACTCTGAAAGCAAGTGTTTCAATCTACTCCTTTTGAAGTGCAATTAATTGCAGATTATATAATGCTTTCTGTAGCAGTCACTTGCTATGTATTTTAATGCATTTTTTGGACAGTAGAAAACTAGCGTGAGAACTAACCACAGCATGTATTTAAGCAACCTCCTGCTGCAAATTCAGAAAAGCAGAGCATACCAAAGCTTTTTCACAAATGAAATACACTCCTTGATGTCTCTAGGTACATGCACTAGCTGGAGCAGGTGGGATAGACAATCTCCTACTACTGGATCTGCAGAAGTTCAAGCCTTCCACACACGCTGTGGCAGCAATGGGAGGAGGTGGAGTTAATATGGCTTCACAACAAAAATGGAAAGTTGGGGAGCAAGAATTTGAAGCACTCATGAGGATGCTGGACAACCTGGTGAGAGCACATTGCTGGTGGTATCTATGTAGTCCTGTAAGGTTTTGAGTGTACGATTAACTTTTGTAAAGCAAATAATTCTTTAGTCATACTGTTTCTGACAGCAGTATTCTGTCTTAAAAAGAATTTATAATGCTTTGAGCTTCAATTTTTGTCAACGTATAGCAACTTAATAGTAAAAAATCTTAATTTTAGTTTTTTTAAACATTCTTTTCTTCCTTTCCTCCTCCACAGGGATACAGAACTGGCTATGCCTATAGGCAACCATTAGTCAGGGAAAAGCCCAGACATAAGAGTGATGTTGAGATCCCAGCCACTGTGACTGCCTTTTCCTTTGAAGATGATACAGTCCCACTTTCCCCCCTGAAATTCCTTGCACAGAGGCAACAGAGAGAGAAGACAAGATGGCTGAACTCTCCAAACACATACTTGAAAGTTAATGTGCCTGAGGAGTCCTGGAACGGGGAAACCAGTCCCAGGACTAAGATCACGGTAGGTTGATATGTTGGACAGTCACTTTGGTTTTGCCCTACTTGAAAGTAAGTTATGCACAGTTTATATGAGGAAATCTTGAATAGGATTAGCAAATAAGTTTATTGAGAAAATTAAAACAGGCTTTTCAGAGCCTTAATGACATTGGTACTAAGGGTCTCCTCCCTTTGAGGAGACAGGGCTTGACTGTAAGAGTAACACTTTATGATAAAATTTAACAATGATTTCGCAGTTCTAACCATCTCTTTTTATTCCTGAAATAGAAAACAGTTTTTCTACCACTTCTTCTTGTGCTATTAGTTATCCACCAAATATAGTAAGGCTTTAAGTCAGCCGTGGGTTGTTCTTCTTTCAGGAAGGAGACACTAATTCATCTCTTGCTGTCCCCTTTCTATTTGTGAGCCTACTGAAAACAGCTTTCAAAAGGTCTGTTCGTGCTACAGGCTTTTAATGATGATGAAGGTTTTCCCCCTCCTGCAGCTCAGCAAGATGCTCACACTTAGTTTCCTGCCTGCAGAGAGGTGGCCCTCGTGGGACTATAGAGCATGTTATTGCTCTTCAGCTACTCCCAGTACAACTATAAAAGCATCAGCTCCTCCTGCTGGCAGGCTGGCAGGTTTCTAAACTTGAGTTTGGGAAAAATACCCTCAGAACCCTGCTTGAGAAGGGAAAAAAACTGTAATCAATGTGTGATCAGCAGAGGTGGAAGTTGGTTGCATGAACAAGGGCTCTGGATCTACATGCCAGTTACTAGAAAGCGTGATCCTTTCTAAATTCAGCATCATTAGTACACAGCTGACACTTCATTTTTCAGGAATGTTTGTCAGTATTTACAAAAAAGTAGTCATGTTCAAGGCAACTTAAAATCCTCTTGGGCAAACACACAAACCTGTAAAGGAATTGGGATTATTTTTTTAGGTATCATGTGGAATTGAAAATAAAGTCAGAAAGTTCTTTCTTAATATCTCTTCTTTAACATTAAGAACACAGAGAATTGTTCCTTTCCATCATACTGGGTATTTTAGCTTCTATCTTTGTTTTTCCCCCTCTTTAAGTGGATGAAAGCTGATGACTCCTCCAAGACTAGTGGAGGAACGCCAATCAAAATTGAAGATCCAAACCAATTTGTTCCTCTAAATACAAACCCAAGTGAAGTGTTGGAAAAGAGAAATAAGGTAAAATGAACTGAAAATTGTAACATTTCCAAACAAAATTATGTGTTCAAGTAATGATTCAGCAGAGAAGTAAAATAACATTTTCAAATGTTTTGATATTATTAAGAAGGTTCTTACACTATATGTGATTTTTGGCACCAAAAACATGTATTTAAATGTGTGATATACATGAAATCTGCAGATATGTGTGCAATATTTATATATTTAAATTTTGAATGCAATAGTCTGATGAAGGATGAGTGTTAACTCTGGAAATTATAGATTGGGAATGGTAGTCCCTGTTATTTAGCATTTTATTTAGTAGATAATTAGGTGTCAACACCAACGGAATTGCTATGCATCATCTGCAACAAGATTCAATCTCAGACTCTAATCTTGTTCTGTTCTGTTTTAATTTGCCTAGTGCTTGTTAAGCTGGAATTTCTAATGGCAGTAAAAAAAATGAAAATCAGAGATTATTGTTGGATCTCTCTGTAAACAGAAATATCTCTCTGCTTTTCCCTTCCAGCATAAAAGACACTGATTATCAGACTGACCAAATACTCCACCCTCAGCATAACTATATTAACAGATATTCAGGACACTTTTCATTGGATTGCACATTTTTTTTCTTTCTTGGAAAGCACTATATCAGTGTCCTTGGGGACTGAAGTGGAGTTAGAAGGAGCAACTCCCTTCCTCAGAACTGGGAAGGCACCCTCTAATCATCCAGAGATTAATAATACATGTCCCAGGCAATGATTTTTAAAGTCATGCATGTCACTGGCTCACAGAGAGTTTATTCCTAATTCTCTGCTGTAGGATTTTTTCTATATGATCTATATTGGTATTTATATCTTATCTGTCAATCTCTTAAGCTCTGACAATTAGAAGCTAGGGCTGTTAGTTTAGGGAAAACAATAAACTATTCACAGAAGGAAAAACTTTACCAACCTGTGTGACCACAGAGTTTCCTCCAATAGCTGAACATGCATCCTTTATGAGGGGGAGAGGACAGTTCAGGGGCTATTCCTGGGAGCTTATTTCTAAATGTTGACTTACATAAAGTGCAAGAACTGGGACTGGGGTAAATATTTGTGAGTACTGGAAGAGCCAAACAACATATGCTGTGTATTCAGAGATGGTAGAAGAGTTCTTAGTCTTTAGGTGCAACAGCTTGATTCTCCAGCCATTCACTGCTCCCTGTGTTAGTGGCTTTGCAAAGCTGATGGGCACAGGGTTTGTTAAAGAGAAATATCTTTTTCTAACCTGGTTTATTTTCTCTCTATAGATAAGGGAGCAAAACCGATATGACCTAAAGACAGCAGGACCTCAGTCTCAGCTGCTCGCAGGGATTGTTGTGGATAAAAAGCCAAGTTCAGTGAGTACAACATAATTAACTAATTTACAGCTGTTCAGGTAATTTGGCTGCCTGTCTTTCAAATGTCAGCTTGGGCCATTTTCGTTCTGAATGTTTTGTTAGAACTGATTATTTTAATGCCAGTTTTAGAGGTGTGATGCACCTTATTCATGTTTCATTTTAAAGGTTTTAAAAGTTAGTTTCAAATTGAGATATGCATGTTAGGTTTGCAGCCATTAATGTTAATGAAGTAGGATCCTTGTCTAAGCTCATTTAAGTGAGAGAGGAAGAACTTTGGAATGCATGGGGCCAAAAATAGCCTTCATTAGTCTGTGGAAGTGATGCTAAAGATAACAATTGAGTCCAAGAAGTAGCTGAGTTAAAAAGGTGGGATGTCACAATGTGGAAGGCAGCTTTCATTAGAAACAGGCTTCTTACTGGGGGAGAGGGTTTCCAGTTTCTTACCTGCCCATGTTAATCTTTTCATGAATGGAATATACTTCCAAACACTATAGATATCCCTAACAGGGTTATCCAACATACTGTGGTGAATTGGAATTCTAAGAGTTTCCAGCTATCCAACAGTTAGTACATCTGTGTTTTAATTTTGTATTCCCTGCCAAAACTTTGTCATCAAACTTGGGCCAAAAAAAAAAAAAAAGACCTGAACGTTTTGCTTGTTGCTTCATATTTTTTAACTGTTAAATTTTTTGGCTTTCTCCTTCCCAGCCAATGCAGTTTGATGATGAGCACGCGCCCCCGGCACCACCCAACCCGTTCAGCCACCTCACCGAAAAGGAACTGGAAGAGTACAAGAAAACCATTGAGCGCAAGCAGCAGGGGTTGGAAGGTCAGCAGTGTGGTTTGGATTGCTGGGGTTTACATTTTAATAATTGGCTTGAAAATATCTACTGTAAAAAATGTGTACATGTTAGTTATTAGGATATACTGCTGGCAACTAGCTTAGAACTAATCATTCCTTGAGGTGGTAGAATTCTTTTGTTAAATGTGGTTCGTTCTTTTATTTTAGTTAGTGCTGAAAATAAAGCAATTAAAGGTTTGCAGAGAAATGGGGTTGACAAAAATACAATTAATCATAATGAATTTTTTATGTCAGAATCATAGAATAACTTAAGGTGGAAGAATCCACAAAGGTCATCTTAAGCCAACTTCTCCTCAGAGCTGATACTAAAGTTAGATCAAGTATCTCAAGTCTGTGCCCAACTGAGGAAAAGTTTACTGAGATGTTTGGCCCTGGCTTCTCTAATTTTACTTCTGTTCTCTCAGTGTGCAAGTCTCATCTACTTTCACTTTTCATATCTTCATCCCATACTATATTCCATAGAGAATTACTAATTTGGGGTTGTTTCCAATTTTTAACAATAACACTTACTGTGAATTCTTCTTCACTAATAATGTGTAATAAAACAACTTTGCTATATGTCACACTCAGGATATGGTGTAATTGCTTACTGTACCAGCAGATTGTGGCAAGATAAAACCATGGGACATGCTACTTGGAATGCAGTCCTGCCACCTTTTTTAATGCTTTCTAATAAAGAACTAATATATACAAATTTTATCAGATAAAGCAAATCCATAATTCTTTAGAGTTTCAACTGTGTATTGTAACTTTGTGCTGTTGTCAGCATGAGCAACACAAAGCTGTAGCAGACATGTAAATCTTGTAGCATCAACACTGACACTCTTGCTTGATTTTCACTTTTGCTTGGCTACTAACTCACATCTTGTCCTGCAGATGCTGAACAGGAATTATTCTCAGATGACGGTTCATCTGTGTCACAAATTCAGTCACAAACTCAATCCCCGCAAAATGTCCCAGAAAGATTAGAAGGTATTCCATGCAATTTCTGTTTGATGCCAAGGGCTCCAATAACCCAAGTCCTCGACTCTTCTTCTGCACTTTTACACTTGCATGAAGTCAACTGAGTCAAAAGGAGCCCTCTTTTGCAAAGTTTGGGTGGTACTCTGTCCAGAAAACTATTTTTCCCTCATTTTTTCTAATATGACATTCTCACAAACAGAAGACAATTCAGGGCATGCTGAAACTTAGATATTAACCAGGGGGAGCAAATAGATATTAAATTTGATTTTACTGAAAATGTTAAGAATAGTTCTTTTGCCTAAGACTTTTCCAGAAGTCTAAGTAGGCATTTTAAAATGCAAGTTCTCCAGTGCCTTCTGTATGGAATGGCTGTGTTTTCATAAATGAGTCTCCTGCAGTAAAATGTAATTCTGACTGTGCTTGAGGCTGTGTAGACTATATTTGTACATACTCTGTACAGTTTGAGCTGTGTATGCACCTGGCAGAGATAAGGTTAAATTTTTCAGCCCATTTTCCCTTAATGACATTTTGACTGTGTTGTCTGCTTACAGCAACTAAGACTGTGGATAAACGGGGAAAAAAACACATCTAAGCAAAATTCAGATTTCATTTTTTGGATCACAGTCCAGACTCGCAGGCTTTGTCTCAATACTGGGTTTTTTTTGCATGAAAGTGTACATAAATAATTGCAAAATCATTTGCTCTTTCAGAAAATCATGAGGATTTCTACACCGAGAATACCAACCTAATATCTGTGGAGATGCCAGTTGTGGTGGTGAATGGGAAGGAAGATGCACACGACGTGGAAGAAGATCTCAGCAGGAGGGTCAGTCAGTTGAGTACTGTGGACAGCGTAGAGATTACCATTAAAGGCTCTGAAAAGATAGAAGAGGCTCTGTCCCCTGAGGGGTCACCTTCCAAATCCCCTTCAAAGAAAAAGAAGAAATTCCGCACCCCATCCTTCCTGAAAAAGAGTAAAAAGAAGGAGAAGGTGGAAGCGTAAGTGCAGTTCTGTTGTGAGGAGACATTGCACATTTTAAACCTTTAAGTTGACCATTAACAGTGTAGTGTTAGGGGTGTGCAGTAACTGGACTTTTAACCTAAACAAGTAGAAACTGGAAGAGGTTTTGCTTTAAAGAAACCAAACAAAGAGACAAACAAAAAAAACCTTTCATGTTAATTGCAAATTAATTCATCTCTCACTTAGCTGTGTCCAAAATTGCTATGAGGGTTGGAAACATTGATTAGTTTCATGTAGAACTACACTGGCAGGTGCTCAATTACCATCATAGCAAGGTCAAAGACCATCACAGTATGCAGCAGCAAGTTCTGCTCGGAGTATTTTGCAGACCTGAAAATTTTCAGTACAGTTAAAGTCTTTATTAAAGTTACTGTTGAGTGATCATATGACTTTCTAAAACTGCTGTCTCATTTGGAAACCAGATCATACATTTTTGTATTGTGGTTTTTGACCATATATTTTATGTTTCTGTACCCCTATTTGAGTGGGTACTTATTAACAGCACACCTTTACATCTTTTTTAAGATTAGCTCATATAGAAATAATATACACTGGCACATAATACTAGGGGGAAAACTGTGTAAGAGAAAGTTTATTTGGAATTATACAAAATGTCTAAAGAATTCCATTATTCAATAACTTTTTTGCCAAATATTTCATTTTAGTGAAATATAATTTTTGAAGACTTCTTTTTTATTCTATCAGTTGGGGCGGGGGAAACCCTTATTTTTCAAGAAGGGGGATTTTATACACTTAACATTGATAATTTAGTTTAACTGACAAAACAAAAAGAAGATTTTATATGTTCAAATGTTTGTATACCATTCAGTATAAAGGTATTATAAGCATGTGAACCAAGCATTTAATAGTTAGAGTGTATTTAAGAATGCTTGGTTTAGAGTATACTTAAATATAATTCAGGAATCCAGGGACTTCAAAATCAAAGGATAAAAGCATATAAAATTGAACTGGATTCATGTTTAAAAATTATTTGTGGGTTGTTCTTTTTTTCTCTCATGGTATTGCTAATGAATGAAGAAAATTAATCTCTTAACATAACCAAATGAAGGAAACAAAAATGTTAAAAGGGAAAGTGAAATAGTAGGGAAATAGGAGGAGACAAAGAAAGTAAAAGTTCGGTGATTATTTTTTTTAAATATATGATACGGATTGCGGGATATTTTTATTAAATCAGCAGAGTGACATTTCCATATTTAGATGTTTTAAATAATTTGTATGGATTCATGCAGAGTGCAACACTTTGGGTTTTCTCTTCAGTTTCATTCAAATTGTAAAAGGGTCTCGTGAATCTGTGTTGTCCTTTGGATGAACCCAGAGCAAATCAGAGCCTAGTGCCATGGGTAAGGGTGGTACTGCCACTTACTCATTTTTACTTGTGTTGTCATTTTAGTACTTTTACTGTATTGTAAATACAAACTAAACATAGAAATTAACATAGGGGTTTCTTCGCTGTGTCAAATGTCTGTAAATCAGTCATTGCAATAGGAAGTACATCTTTTAAGATCCATGTGATTCCCAAATTACCGGTTGAAATATTATACAATATATAATTGTTAAATATGGCTGGAGAGTGGTTTGGCATGCAAAAATGTTGATTATAGCATGTTTGGGAGCTGGTTAGCTTTGACCGTGTAAGTGTGATAATGCAATGTTGGAATGGATCCTGGAAACAATTTTCTAGCTGTCACTAAATACTGGAATCAGTGTTTTTAATCATAGTGGAAACTTTCAGTTGCTTACTTTGTTTTTTTATGTTCTACATTATTTGTGTTGTATTACAACATATGTAGAAACAGTAACCTGTGAACTACGCTTTTCATAACTTTTTTAAAAATATATCTAAATGAATGCAATGTGCATAAATATTTTTTAAAATGCAACCGTGAACTATTTGCACCTTTTGCTAATGCCTCTATTTACTTGCTTTGGCATAAAGAATGAGCCAGCCAACTCTTGTGTCCTGTGGAAAATATATAAATGTTATCTGAAATTGCTCATAGATGTAATGCTAATTAATGTTAAATCACAAATAAACAGTATTTTAAATAGATGGATTTCATATAGCAGTCTTTTGTGTATGCACTTACATCTCTTGCTTGTAGAGAAGATGCTTTGATTTTGCACGTTGCTTCTCAAGAATTTATTCTGGAGAGGACTTATTGCTTGTGCTTATCCTGAGAGCTCTGCAAGAAAATAACCTGATCTTGCTGTTGAGCAGCTTTTGACTCTGTCACAGGTGCTGGAGGGGAAAGAGGACAGGCCTGTGGTAAAAGGCAGGGCGCTGCCAGGCAGTTTTCTGAGCCCAGGGGGGTCTGTGCTCGCCCAGCCTGGGCTGCCTCCTGCTCTGCAGCACCATGGCATCACAGGTGACGTGAGGGACTGGGGTGGTTTTAGTGCTGAGTACATACAGAGCAAGGAAATGGCTCAAAGAAATTACCCTTTTAAAAATTACTACTAATAAAACAAAGGTTTTCTTATAGAAAAAGCTTAATGCAAAGTTATTTGAAGATACCTGTGTCACGCCCTGCCAACATATGGTGTATGTCGGAGCTTGTGAAGCTGCAGAAGTTGCAGTGTTCTGTTTTTGTAGCTGTATCAACTCTGTGGAATATCTTTTGTAGCTGTATCAACTCTGTGAAATGTCTTTAAGGACTGCACAAATGTTTATTTCCTTGTCCTTCCACAAATCAGCCTTTTGTTGCTGTTTACAAGAAAATCAAAATTTAGTCCTCTGGGTCTGGTGACAGTTTGATGAACTCGGTCCCCATGTGGTAGGATAATTTTGGTTTAGCATTTTAAATAAATCTTGACCAAGATTTTAGGTTTTTTTCTGACTATAATTTGTCTCCAAAAGCATCTACAGTCTTTTTAGTGCTGCACTAATGTGAAAGTAGACACTATATCAACAGGGAGGAGCATCCACTGTAAGGCCAAGGGCATATATAATTTACTTCTTTAGGTCCTTTTTATTCCCAAGAGTCTACAAACCACATCAGACCTTTCACTTTCACTTAAATCTTACTCTTTCACAGTGTTACTTGAAGGATCTGAGATTCTGCAAGCCAAAGCATGAAAATAAAGTAGATGTTTGTAACAGGCATAATAAACATTAAAACTTAAGTTTTGGGAAGTAGGAACCCTTGGACAGATGAGCTTCAAAAAGGATCATTAATATGATAGGAAATAATTATTGTCATTAGGCTGCTTAACCCAAGAGAGAGCAATACATAGAAGCAGTGTTTACTGTGAGGAATTGCATGCAAGCTACCATCCAGAACATTAAAAAGGATTTATAAAACTGTACATCCAGGTGATTGCCTGTTGATGTCTTTTACAGACTTCCAGCTGTTCTGGAGATAAGTGTTACATAGCAAAGCAGATTTTGCAGAATCTGCAGAATGAGGTGTATCGACTTTAGATGGCACAAGGAGACAGAATAATGTCATGGTTAGGGCTGTAATAGGCCATTTTGACTCGTATTTTCCTGCCTTGCCACTTGAGTCCATTACACACTGTTGAGCACGTGGCATAAATTGCTGTCATTTCTGGGGAAAGTTGTTCAGGATTTTCTATATATATAGCTTGCAAAACTGTTGAGTTTTCACTATTTGAGCCCATGGAAACTTCTCAAACAGGATGTACTGCAGTGTATCCAAGGACAGCGAGAAAGGGCCCCGGTGTCCCATGCTGTGCACATGGGTCTGATGGAAACTTCTGACGTGAGCACCGATGTTCTCTCTCTTCCTTTCTGCAGACTGGCAGGGAAACACATCCCCTCACCCCTGGGGCTGCTGCGTGGGTTGGTGTTTGTCCTTTCAAAGACTGGGGGTGTTTCCAGAGGTGCAGGGCTCTGAAAGGCGCTGACCAGCAGCTGCCTGGCCGTGTGTGTGGGCAGCTGGAGCGCGGCCAGCCTGGCCGTGGGCGTTGCTGCGGGCACGGCAGCGTGCTGGGAACACCAGGACAGCACTCGGGGCACTTCTGGCCTGCTGGCTGTCACACAGCCTGCAGGAACTGCTCTGCCAGAGACTTGCAGCTTGGCCAAACTTGCACACTCCTGGGGAATAGTAGAAAGCCCATCCTCAATATAAACATCGCTCAGCCCTTCACCACAGTTTCTAATCTGGGTTTCAAAGCCAGCAGTAGTTTAGGTTTCCAGGAGAAAGGATTGGCAGAATACACTATGAAAAAACTTGTATTTTTGTACATCCTTGTCCTTTGAAAGTGTTGGTGACTATTTACGTGTGCCAGCAGTACATGCAAACACACCCAGGCGGTTTTCACGTGGAGCAACACACAGCATGGACAGCTTCCGTCAAGTTTGATCAACTTAAACACAAACAAAACAAAGCCTGATGATGGGAACTGGAGGTTGAACAAGAGTTCACACTCTGAAATTGTGGTTGAGAGTTCCAAAGTCAAACAGAGCCTGTGGGAGGTGAGAATTCAAGCGGCCTTTAGGTGGCATCAGACCCTCGCGTTTGCTGCCTTTGTTCCCTGCAGTCTCAAAGCCACCAACAAAGCGCTTTCAAAGAAGGTATTTTTGGTGGAGATTTTGTGGGCTTTATTCCAGTTCCAGTACAGAGAGATGAAAGCAGACATCTGGCTGCCGGACTCATTTTCTATATTGATTCATTTCAAAATCCAGCAGTGGAGCAGGCTTTGTCAGGAAGGCAAGACTCCTCTCCCCCCCATCCTTTTGCAGCAAGCTAAGAATGTTGGTAGAGCTTTTTTTAACTTTTTCACTCACTCCGCTAAGCAGAATAATATCCATTTGTTCAATATTTTCTCTCTATCAACCTTACCCACAGGCCAGAGACTTCTCAGTGGTTCTGGATGGTGGGGCAGAAGTCACAGGAGACCCCAGTAGAAGACCACTGGTGCCAGGGGTTCCCACACCCTTCTGTCTCACCTGCTTCCATGTCATGAATTCCAGGTGCATTTCCTTTCACATTTGCAGTGGTAGCTCGATACAACTGCGTGTCTCTGGACACTGCTAGAGCTTTTGCAAATTTTTAATTTGCAAATGTTATTTGTAAAAACAAAACTTGTGCCCTGGGTTATCAGGATGGTGAGTAGTTGAACTCTGTAAGGAGCAAGTGAAATTCTCTGGGGTGGTGACGTGGTCCCGGGCATGGTCCTGACCGCTCCCAGCCCTGGCTGACATTGCCAGCTGGATTTGACCTTTGGCATGTCAGCTGCTGGCTGCTCTCTGACCTCCCAGGCACAGAACTCATCCCTCTCCTCCCAAAGGTACAGAAAGTTCAAACATGGACTGAAGTGAGGTGCTTAACTTAATGGCCTGGCTTTTCTCGGAAGGCTGAGCACTTAGCCATGCCAGGGAGAGCTGCAGAAGAGCAAGTTGTTTAGCCCTCAGCTAGATGCAGTGAGAGCCAAATAATCCCTGAACTGCAGGGAAAATGTAGCCCCCAACATCAGCATTTTGACTAGCTGTGCTTGAGGACCTTGCAGGGACTGACTTTCTCAGTGAACGTCCTGTCAGCCCAGGCCCTTCCCTCTCCTCCATGCCCCCACTGGGATGGAAGAGGAAAGGTTGCTGCAGATGGCTGAATTTCTGTGTCCAGGGTGTTGAGAGCAACTAACTGGCCCCTAATAAAGCTGCCGTGTTGTGGGCCTCTGGGTGTGGGGACCTGCCTGAGCTTGTCTCTAAGCTGGTGTTTGGCACAGTGGCACTAAAGCTTGGGGACACTTCAGGTCCCTGCACCAATGGCCATGTGGGGCAGACATGTACCCAGACAGGTGCTGAGCTGGGGCCTCAGGGGTGCTCCAGAGGACCAAAGCCACCTCATCTGAGCTGTACTTTTCCTAGAACCTACAGAAAACTCTGAACACACTGCAGCAGCTGCAGTTTACACAGTGCTTTGCCCTTGGATGTTGGACACTTTCAGCCCCAATCCTTCTTTAAGTGGATGGACAAGACAGAAGCTGGCTATTAAATCCACTCAGCAGAATGGGAATGTGGGACAATAATTCCCTTTCCCAAACAGGAACTACCAATTTCTTACTCCAGTGAGTATAAGCATCCTCCCCTTTCTAGCAGGCAGAGGTACAGTGTTTTCAATACTTACTCTTTCCATCTGGCTAGACAGCTCTCTCAAACACCAATACCTATAATTACATATATTATGTATATTTGTATATACATATTACACATGCTAATTATATCTACAGAGGCATTAAAACATTTACCCTGCTTGACTTCAGTTTTATTTTAAAGTTGGCAGCATCCAACCAACATTAGGAATATGCTGCATAAATAAGTAGAGTTTATTTAGATTTATTCAACAGTGTTTACAGCTAATAAGTAACCACGTCCATTTAAGTCCTGATCTGCTGGCTGGCATGTCACCTACATGTGATCATTCACCTTCAGCTGGAGCAGCTGGTTCTTCCTGGATTTATTTAATGGAGCTAACTTCACAAATGACCTGGAAGAGGCACATTGGGCAGAATTTGCTCTGCCACTGTCAGTCTAATGGGAGAATATTTGGGCATTGGAGTAGTTTTCTTATAAACAGATATGTTTATAATGTCTTACTCCACTTGGCTTGGTTTCTACCTTTCCAGTTCCAGTATGGACATATTCCCATAAGAAGAGAAGGTCTGGCAAGCAGAAAGCATTCCCCAGTATCAGCCCATGCCCAGCATATAGATTAAATAGCTTTTGCTGCACAAAGCCAGACGGGCTCTTTGAGCAACACAAGAGCACGTGTGCAAGTGCCACTTTTGGCAGCTGCCTTTAATTGGATAGATGCAGTTATGAATTGATTTTAGGATTTGGGGATTTAGACAATACAATTCCTCCAGTCATAAAGGAATGACAGCACCTCTTAGCTCCTGTGTTAATCAAAATGCTGTGTCCAGGTGCTGGGATGGCTATTTCCATGGTCCAGCTCCAGTGGTGGGAAGGATGCTCCTCCCTGCCAGCCAGTGGCTGTTGGATGCCCTGTGCTGCACTTTGGGCAGCAGGGATAGTGTCAAGTTACTGATGTTTCCCTTCATCCCTTTACTCCCCTGTTGGTTCCGTGTCCA